TCAAAATAATATAAAGCTTAATTATTTTTAAAGGGTTGGCTTTGTTCTAGGACCTCCAGGTTGTTCCACGTGTGGAACAGTCTAAGACAGGACCTCCCATTAGAATACAGAACAAAACAGGCATCACTGACAACAAATGCAATATTCATAAGTGAGATAAAACATTAAATGGAAGAACATGGGGTGGAGGTGGGACATGGAGTGGCCTTCACGGGAAACTGCAGGCTGGAACAGCTCAAATACTAACAGAAGAGAATAGGTGATATGGACAGATGGAGATCAGTTGCTCCTACCTTAGATTTTGAGATTGCTGGCAGAGTGATTTTGTGGCCTAATAGACTAATTGGTTTTACCAACAACATAGACAAATCCAATTTATGTGTGGAAATCCCCATAAAAAGCCCATTCTATGCCAGAAAATCCACAGATGTCTGAGGAACGCATGTTGAATTTAAGCTTATATCCTGTCTGCTAGGACAAAAGGATTATATTTCCATTTTGTTATTTTGTTACTGTCACCCATTAGAAAGTTTACATATTTTGCTGGAAACTAGATTGAGATGGTAGGATTTACCTAATTCCTGCTTTATGGATTAAAAGCTTGAATTGCTACTACAAAGCTATAGTTGGTCAACTATATAATTAGCCACAAGTATCAGTCTTTGCATAAGAATAGGTAACATTCCTCAGATTCTATGGAGCTATAAATCATGCATATCATAATAACTCAATGTAAAAAGTAATTCTTTCTTTGTTTGGCTACCATGCATGCAGACAGAAAACCAAGGCTTCAAGACCCTTTTTCCCCCTCAAAAGATCAGTGATAACCAGCAGATCAAAACCATAACCCTAAATTTTACATATATTAACAAACCAAGATCATGTCAAATTTGCAACCAATCATGGTCTCATGTTTTATTTAGTAAGCAAGAGTTAGATGAATTACATATAATGCTCCCTCACACTTAAGTGAGGCAACAGGATCTCCCCAGTGGTTATTCTGACCAGTTTCTTCTGTGGTTATGGTTCTTAAGAGGCGCTATATCCTGTGTGTGGGGCTCATTACTCCAGGTTTTAAAATAAATGACCTAAAACCACTTCTTATCTTGCCCATTCATTCATTCATTTCCAATGACTAAGTGACTAAATTTTGATATGTTAGCGTGTTTCTATTAAGTTGTTAAATAGGTTTTATGAAAAACATATTTCAAACTTGCAAACACAGCAGTAACACAAAAATAAAGATGAGAGTAGCCTTCATAACTCTGTTGGGACTCCTATTGAAAGATAAATAACCAACTAAGTGAATAATTGGCAGAACACAAAAAGCTAGTAGATGCCTAAATGACATAACAGAGAGATTTGCAAGAGTGTGCCCCCTATGTACTGAAGGCTGTTCTCACACTAGATGCCTGGGTCTGAGTCCACTGTTTTCTTCATTTTATCCACCCTCTTTCTTTCTCTCTCCATTCATACTGATCATTATACAATAAAGCCAATAACCCCAAAAGCCAAAAAGCAAAAAGAAATTAAAAAAAAAACAAAAAAAACATTACAACTGCTAAAAGAGAGGCCAGAAAAATAGGCCTTTCTCTCAGACATCTGTAAGTATACAGACCCAGAAGAACTGAAGACACTGATATAAGAACACACAAAGACAAAGAAGGTATATGATAACCTACTCTGCTGCTCCTAATACTGCAACAGAGTAAGGCAAACATATTTAATCCTTTAAACTGCACCAGCTCCACATTGTTTTTTCTGTTGACACAGCAGTTCTGTGGTGCACTGATTTGTGCAACAGTGCAATCACAAAGGGAAGTCATTAACATGGCCAGATGGCAGCTATGGCATCATCTGGTGACATCACACTACAAGACTCTAAAAGAGTAAAAGGACTCACAAAGTGCAGATGATATATAATCTACAGAAAGGACAACTGTAGGGGTTTCATAGTATTTATCTTTGAAGAAGAGCTCGCACTGACTATAGAGCAGGAAATAGTAACGAAAAGAAGACGGGTTTTTAATGTCTGCAGGATTTGAAATACATTAAAAAAAAACACACACACACACACACAAACTCTATATATAAATCTAAATCTATTCAAACTCTTTGGCAGAGAAGATGCAGTCAAACATGGCGAACCCTGTGACATTCTGCCTTCAGGGAACAACTTCACACAAATAGTGCACCTGGAAAATATGCTATATACAAATGTTCTGATTCCTCATGTTCAATATATACTGAATCTGTTGTATGGGATTTCCTCCAATAAGAATGCATGTTTCCTGTATTTGCCATTTATGCTTTTATTTAACTTATGTATGCCCTTATATCCAGCATCTTCTTGTGTGTTCTCAAACCAATAACACAAAACATAAAGTGTGTGTGTTTGTGGTTTTGGTTTTCAAAGTAAATGTGTTTCTGTAAAAACAACAATGACATGACAGTGTAAGAAATGACCTTTCAAATAAGGTGTTTTTTTGCACAGTGAATTCAAAGACGCTAAAGAGACTAAACAGTAGAGCAGTGCATGTTTGGTAAACAAAGACTGACTGTTAGACCTGCTAGACAAGTGCTTTCTGTCCTCATAGTAGTGCAAGACAATGGTTAATTGCTTGTCAATTGCTTGTGTATTTAATGTCTACACTCACATACGGGTTGTGTACGTGAAATAATTGTTATTAATATTAAAAGAAGTGACTTGTTCAAAGTTGAATACAAGTAATGAATGTTGAGGCATGAAAACCATTAACTTTAAAAACTGCTAATGCATTAAACATTTTGAAAGAATATGTGTATTTGTTGAATAGAGATCTCTGTAAGGACTTCTTTAGATTCATGTCACAATTGATGTATATTCAAACAGGTAAACGAATAAATGACTCACTCGCACATTCTTCTCACTTGTACAATTGATTCACCCACACATTTTCTTTCTGTGCATGCAGCTCCACACCATTGCTGTTATCTGTGCCTTTCCCTCACTGTCTCTGCTTATCCTCTCTGTGACAGTGCATTATTGTTTGTAAATCTGATGATGAAAGTGTGTTCTAGCAGAAACACATCTGATTTTCATTTTCATCACTGGTAGTGGCAGCTTACTGCTACTGAATACAAACAGTAACGGCATGCTGAGAAAGATTTAGCAGCAATCTGTGAAGATCAAAGAATTATTCTGAAGGAGATTTATTGTATGGCAATTTATCAAGTAAGTACAGTAAGTACAAACCAGATTCCTGCTGGGTTTGGAAATGACTTTTAAATTGCCTTCTCTGACCTGAGATATATATATTCTCTAGTCACTAACTACTGCAAGGCAAGTACTGTAAGTTATCAATTCCCTTTAGGAATGAGAAATGAGGGCAAGCGTGGCAAATGCTTGGTTGAAAAAATTTGATAGCTAAATTATGCATCGTCACATATGGCTGTACTGAATCTCAGTCTAACTGAGGTAGAAATGGTTAATGATTGGCCTGAAGGGAGCCTGCATGACTGAATGTATAAGGACATAGACTGTTTCTAAAGCAACAAATGGCAGTGGTCTGCATGCCCTTGTTTTGTGAGGTGTATTTTTGTTTGGGCACACTGCTTATTCGTAGCGGCCATGGTTCAGGGGATTGGAAGCACATCTGTAACCGGAAGGTTGCCGGTTCGATCCCCTAGCTCTTTCTGTCGTTGTGTCCTTGGGCAAGACACTTTACCCTACCGCCTACTGGTGTTGGCCAGAGGGGCCGATGGCACGATATGGCAGCCTCGCTTCTGTCAGTCTGCCCCAGGGCAGCTGTGGCTACAACTGTGGTTTGCCTGCACCAGTGTGTGAATGTGAGAGTGAATGAATAGTGGAATTGTAAAGCGCTTTGGATGCCTAGAAAAGCGCTATATAAATGCAATGCATTATCATTCAGTACCACAGTCCAAAAAGAAAATGATGTACATGGCACTGAAGCACAAACTAGTAAAAGCAATCCCATCTGGATGACTGGACTACCAACCAATCTATCAGTCTGATCTCAGTCATTGTTAGGTTACGCAACAATGATTATGGCCAAGCATTAGACCCTTTATTAATCACATACAAAGAAAGCTTGTCACTGGCACCTTAAAATATTAATGAGAATCTTCCTCTCTCTCTGAGTCAAAAGCACACCATAGCTCTATGCTGGCTCACCGACTCTCTCACAGGTGCTATCAAATGACAGACCAGCTGACCAGGCTACAGTGACAGCTCTTGTCTTCTTGCTTCAACAAACTGATTGACAGTCTTCTCACGGGACAGTCCGTGTGACAATCTACTCATCCAAACATGTAAACTGACACCCTGAATCCAGTGTCTGTTCCCTACAACCAGCAGATGTTTGAGGTGCCATCCTGAACACTTACGTTTTTTATAGTCAAATAACATACAACGATTCTAGTACATAACAGGCAGGTGCTGAGATCTTTGGGAAAGCAATGAATGATCCCATTTTTCACCAACTCCCTGATGTGTCAGGTTTATATTATTAGAGAGTATTTGAATTTTTAGCCAGAGTGTTGATCCTTGCACAAGCTATGTGGGAAAAATATATTTCAATAATCAGCAGAGGAAAATTCCCATCAACTGCTGAATTTAGAAAGTTGGGTTCAGCCTTTTTTTTCCATTTCATGTTTATTTTCAATCATGTAGGCTTCACGAGTTGACATCTAGACTGTGGTTGGTACAGTGGGAACTAGATAATGTAAAGTATAAGTTTAGGAATGCATGGCAAGCATTGTGTTAACAATAAATCAGTCCCGAGCTACGGGAATTTAATACTCAGGCAAAGGCATTATTTCTTGTATTTTGCTCAGCTTATGCTCTGTAAAAGTCATTTTGGCTTTTTTGCCACAAGATCTCAGTACAAAAAAAGGAAAACTGAAGAAAAAAAAAAAAAACAATCAACACACACCACTAAGCTTTTTAGTAGTAAAAATCTTTATAACATTTCTTAACGTTGAGTAGCAGGAAGAGTTACCTTTACAACTGGATGGCCACCGGATGCTGCTTTGATGGCCCCTCGGCTGCCTTCAGTCTCATAGTGTGCTCTGTGGTGGGCTTTGGGTTGTACCTCTATCTTCAGTTCATACTGGCCAAACTGGCTTGGCAGCGGCCAATCTAGAGGAGGCAGTGAAGAGGTCCTGAGGAGGAAAGGGAATACCACGAGCATGCACATGCACACCCACACAGAGAGACAGAGACATGAAAGCTTTGGTAAGAGTTGTGTTGTTCAAAATATCCAAAAGCTTAAGCCTTAAGAGGGCACGGTCTTATTATGTTATTTAAATGTAGATAAATCATTTTAACAGTCATAAAAGGTCAAGCAGCACAATCTAAAGGTAATGACTGATGACAGCAATCTGTCTTAAAGATGTCTTTAAACATTCAAAGGCTGAAAAAGTGGTAATCCCCTTTCATGGGCTGAAATGGTGCAACAGGTACAAAATGGGGGTATAAAATGCAGTGTGCTTAGCCCCATCAGACAGTGAATCACTGGAATACCCACATGTATGAATCCTGTTCTTAAACGTAACACTTGTTATAGGTCAAGTTAAGCCTTAAACGGTGAATCATTTCCTAAGAGGGACTTTTTTTGTCTGAGTCTTTACTCGTTTACTGTGTGGGTCAGTGAATAGGTGGTAGGACAAGAGTGTGCGTCAGACGGTGCATATTAATCTGTGTGTGGGTCTGTGTGCATACTGTAGAAGTATATATTTTATGTGCTGCAAACTGCATGGGCTAGCATTGTGTGTGCTTTTCCTCGGGGCCTCTTTTTGTTATCTGTGTAGGCCACAATCATATTTGAACAGCTGCACTCGAAAACAAAACACTCAATGGCCTTCTCCACAGAGAAACTAGGTCTCTCCACTTGAGTGCATTACAGCAGTTTATCCCCAAAACATTTTGTAAACACTATGAGCCATTAATATCAACAAAGCCATGGCCTATTCATTAATTTTATTTTATTTGTCTATTACTGCACGTATTGTTTTTGATTATTATTTATTTCAATATTTTTAAGAACATTAAATAAAAATAACGACTTGAGAGTAGAGAGCCACGTTCCCAAACACATTTTGACATATGGACAAAAAACCCGATCATTTTTGTCTTGAATTGGTGCAAGCCACACTTCAATCCATTGCCACACCTTGAACTGTTCGTGTGTCATGTTATTTTTTTCTTTCACTAGTACAACACACGTATTCGGATGCATGTGAATACATGCAGCTGTGCATTAAAGGACTGAATCCATTATTGTCTCAGTACTTTAGACAATTATAGGTGTAAGTTTTATATATGATCTGTGCCTGAGTACTGACCACTGTAAGCTCTTTGTGCAGTGCCCTATTTTAAAAGGTGCAGCCTTCGAGCATCAAAATTTACTCTAAACGGTATGACAGAATTTTGACAGCCCAAATAATTTCAGAGGAAAGTTTGTAAAGTTTTAGCCAGTATAGCCGACTTACTTTTCCATTTTGAGAGGCCTCTTACGAGCAGTCTGATCAAACTGAATTAAGGACATGTGAGTCAGGCTTTCAGTGGAGCCGTTTCACTTCTTAAACTACCAAACAACATAAAACCACAAGGAATACTTATTTTTAGAATGAAAAGGCAAGTCTCGGATATTATATAAATGTTTTTTTCCAGCTAACCGAAGCTTTTGATTTCACACCAACTAGCTATACTATACAGGTTCTCCTACCACTTTAAAATGTAACTTCTTACACAAAGATGTGCCAATCATATGTATGGTGCAATGTTGCACATGGAAATACTCTGACACTTTCAGCAATGCTTGATTTTGTTTACTTATTTTTCTTTCTCCTTCCTTCCTGTCTTACTATAGGTTATTTTGTCTTGGTGCCATTATAAATTTAAAAAAATAAACAAATAAATTGTAGCACTATGTAAATTCCAAAATCATCAGTTTGCCAATCTCAGTAATTTAACTTTTCAAACTAGAATTTGACTGAGAGCATGGAACAATATCGAAGCTCCCACACAATGTAACAGACGCATCCCAACCCTTATGTTTTCCTCCTAGTAGCCATGACATAACCACCGACGTAGTGTGGGTTTGCATGGCTGCTATGGTGACAGGAGAAGAAGAGGACAGAGGAAATATGAGCTTGTGACGAGGCAGGGCAGTGGCCTCTGTTCTGACATAGCATAACCTTTCTCAAATGTCTAAGCCATAGTGTAGGTGCTCCTCACCCAATAACATTCCCACAACCTAGTCTTCACTATAGCCTCCATGGTCCCACTTTCATCCTTTCCATATAATGAGGTATTCTTGCCATCCACACAAGCTGCAAAAATTGCAAGGTCTAATAACATTTTATTTGCAAGTTCTTACTTTAATTCAGCACATCTTAATGGGCTTGTCCACTATTTAGCAGCAAGTATAAAATGCATGATCTTCAAAACAATAATGCCATTTCCGCTGATCCCTTAATTTAAAAAAATAAATAAATAAATTATGTGAAAGTTCCATTACTCTTTTTCATATTTGTCCTTTGTTACTTTCACTTTTTGTTAAAAAAAAAAAAAAAATCTAATCTAAGCTAGTGTTGTTGCTGTTTACTGGGAGGAGCTGCACACAAAACATTTATCACTAAGTAAAATGGACCTTTTGCTTAAAATAAAGCTTACGTTACAAATGACATCAATTTGTCACTGCAGACAGCTCAGGAAGTAGAGCATGACAAAATTCTTTGTAAGAGCAAGTGTCAACTCCCCGCTAATTTTTCATTCCATGTGGGACATCTGTTCAAAACACTGCTACTGACCGAGATGTTTATGTATGCAAGCAACTTAACATGAGTATTGCAAAACACAAGCAGTGAGAAGTTTCATCTGAAGTTTCTGTGTATGCCAATATCTATCTGCCAGCATCTACTAGCTTAAATAAGAAAGGCATGGTTAAAAAAAAAAAATGCTTGAAGTTAATTCATTTAAACAATCAAATCTCTGTTTCTGATTAGAGTTTTTACTTCTGACTATATATATAACAAAACTAAAATCTTAACTTTGATTAGGCAAAAACTTCAAGTGTTAAGGCAGAACACAAAAGAACTGGGAAAATGCTTTTTTCACGTCCAAAGAAATAAAAACAACAAACAAAAACAAAACTACCTCTATACCACTACCTCTATGGATGGACTTTATACTGACAATGTTTTATATTGCTAATGAGTTTTCATTTTTATTGCCCAGTTCTAATTGAAATCTTTCTTTTAACTTTTAAATTTACCATAAAGTCTTCAATCATGAAGGCTAATGACATGTGTGACTAGCAACCAGCCATTTGTTGACAACTGCTGCTGCCCTCGCTACTCGGTGCCAGAAATCCCAGTTGGTTAAATGTACATTCTTATTTTATTAACTTACAACTGCAGTACAAAGTGGTACAAAGATATTAAAGTGCTACTGGCTATTACCCGGGGCTGCAATTCTGACAGACGGCTATGTCTCAGTCTATCCTCCTGCAAATTCAAGTTGTAAACAAGCGAGTGGGAAAGTAAACTGAATATAAACCGAAGTGATATTCTGCACCAGTTTGTATACACTAGCGTGAATGAAATCAAGGGTACTGCTGCTAAGACTGCTAAGGTTAGCCAAACTCTATGAACTAATCTGATACTGTGTGTATTTGCGAGATTATACACGGCACAAAGTGCAGCACATTTTAGTGACATTTAAAACCTTGATCCTTGATAAAGACAGAGCCTGTGACAGGACAATTAACTAACAAAACAAATGTAAATTTTGACAAAAAATCAACAGGAACTAAAATTTATTTTTTGCTTCAAGGCATTTTTAAAAGTCTTTTTTTCTAGATTTTCTCCCAAGTAAGAGTTGTGTGTGCATTTATACACGTAACACAGAGGTAACCAATAATTACATATAATAAATTATCCCAAGCATGTGCCAATCAGGATCTAAAAGCAAATCGCTCCGTTTACTTCACTTCAGACTTTTGTTTAGTAACTGTCTGATCTGTTTACCAAAGTTTAAAAAAATCTGTATGGAAACATTTTCATCACTACTTAAATAACTAGCATATCAATTACCAAACTATATCCCCACCAGTTAATAAGAATCTGACATGTTAACTCATATGTTGTAAAATTTCACTGCGTACCTAATTACCGTGGCTAATTTCATCAACATCGTGGCAATGTCTCAGTGGAGCCATGGAGAACATTTACTTACCTGTGACTGCATTAATTTGTCCCTTTCACAGATTGATGTAGTCTATAATGTCACAAATCCCATGTCTGAAAAGACCTTTAGATGGTCAAAGTGCAAAAATCTAATTGTGACTCATCATAAATCTGACCCTATTATTGTCTGGATAGTGTTATGGCTAAGTGAGCAAGCATTTGTGTTATGTCTATGGATGTCTCTGTGTGTGTATTTGTGTGTACCCCTCATGCCATATGTGCCCTGTGCTGATTTACAGTGCTAGGGGCCAGTATACATAAACAAGGCCATGTCTTCATCTGCTACACACATTGGAGAACAGACAGGACACTTCGCCTCATATTTCTGTGTATGTTGGTAGGTTTTTGAATACATGCTGCGTTTCCTTACACGCACACAGTGCTAATATATAACTCAAAGTTCCCTCATTATGGCCCATACTGATCTAAAGAGTGCCATCCTATTATTCATATACCATGCACCATGATTCAAATTTGCTGCACTGTAGAGTTTACAGTTCTCACCTAGATCAAAAAAGGTTTTGAAATGTTATGACAGCTCACAACACTCATAAAAACATTCACCGCTCAGGTCTGTGGACTAACCTTGGCCTACTAAGTGTTTTTGAGACTGACAACGTGCTGTTTTACAAAGTGGTGATCAAATTAATAAGTCACAAAATGGTGATGAAGGGACTGCTATCGCCACATCACATGGCAATTCTGGATGTCATCCACAAATAATCTCTTATTCTAATACTAATGACATATGTACAATTGAGTACCTTGGTCAAATTTTTTGTAAAAGCCACAAAAGAAATTTTAGCAGATCACATTTTTATATGACTTTTAACACCAAAACAGTCCATACTGCATTCAATTGCATCGACAGAAATGCAAGAAAGGCATACACATGCCTCTCACGTATATCTGTCAGTTTCTGTTCTTGCTAGAGAATGTATTTTATTTAAGCATATCCTATTCTAGTTTGCTGTGGTCTTGATTTATAACTAATATTTGCTATTACAAATCCTACACCACAGAGAGAGGGGCAAAGAGATTCTGCTAATAGCAATAATAACACAAAGTCTTAAATGTTCAAAAGTATTTCTACAATACACTGAGGATGAAATTGCTTGTTCCCATAAGTCCAACAACTCCTTTGGACACAGAAAATACTGAGAATGTGTAGAGTGGCTCTGTCAGAATTAGGCCAAGTCTAAATGTTTAAAAAAAATCACTCTTGTTCATAAAATGTCAAAAAATGTTAAGAAAGGTAATACAGTTTCTTAAGTGTCATTATTATCCAGTCCATGGGAGCAGTATTCCTTACATGTATAGACACTACCCAAAAGTTAGTGTTCTGCCAGGAAAAACCCTGGTGTCCCATGTCTGGAAAGTGTCTTTTCTTTTAAACAAATAGTAAGTAAAACATAAGGATATTATAAAATAAACTTCTTTTAACAATATGGAGAATTACCCCTTGCTCTCAACTGATTTTTTTTCCCCAGACAGTTTATCTCCCACTGACTCTTCCACAGCATTTGAATACATTTGAATATAAATTGTCATGCGACAATCCTTCACTTCTTCCTGCTTTCACTCCTTTAACATTAACATATTTACCTGAATATAGGTGTATGACCAGGCTTGGGTTTATTCCATGAGAAGTGCGAGGGCACCGAGAGGAACTGTTCAGCAGGCCCATCCTTCTTCAAGCTGTGCAAGGCCTCGTCTGAAGGGGAGTCTAGATTAGGAGACATATTTCCCTGGTCATCTAGTCCCAGTTCCCCTTTCCCGGTCTGCATAGTTGTTCTGTCCTGTGAGGTCTTTCTGGTCTTGGAAGGGATGTCTGCCTCTGATGGGCAGCACTGAAATGGTGACATGCCTACAGAAGGACTGCCAACCCAAGTGTCCTCTGTCACGCTGCCCCTAGGTGAAGGTCCCGGCGTGGGTGTGGGTGAGTGATGGGGAGATAAAGAGCCAGGATAGCAAATATCAGCGCTAGAGTGACGCCTCTTCCCACAGGGTGAGGTGGGACGTGAGGAAGGCCTGGAAGGTGGACGTGGGCTGAGCCAGTTCTCATCAGTGACACTGGTGCGCGGCGAGTGGCAGGGCGACTGTCTAGGAGACAAGCTGATGGAGTGGGACTGGTGCACAAATGTGGGCTGGTGGTGCTGCCAGTGGGGCTGCTCCTCCATAACTCCACCTCCACCAGTTTGAGGAGAGGGACAGCCTGGGGAAGTGAGAGGGGAGCCCAGGTTAAAGCGGGCTGCTGCTTCATTCAGCTCTGAGTCAACATCATCATAGACATGTGAAAATGATTCACAAGAGGAGGCATCAGAGAACCAGCTCCTAGATGAGAGGCTGCTGCATGGACTAGGGCTGAGAGAAGAATCCCGGTAGGAGTGATCCAGTGGCAAATACAGGTGGTCCCTGGACAAGGGCCTGTCACTATGGTAGTCCCCATCAGGGCCATTGGCCCTTAGATCCTCCTGGTTAGTATCCATCTCCTGCGGGCAGCTTGGGGAGATAGATGTGATCTGGATACTTGGGCACTCAAAGGCCTTTGGTGCCTCCACAGGAGCAGAAGGCAGCATGGGGGAGGTACCATACTTAGAGTCTTGTGTATCATAGCTTGGGGGCTCAGATCCTGGTTTTTGTGTCTGAAGGCGTGAAGTGTTGATGATCGGGGAGTGAGATGGCATGCCATGGCGAGGCAAGCTCATAGACTGGTGGTTAGTGACCACAGACTGGGGCTGGCCCACATTCAAGATATAAAATGATGTGTTGTCATCAGGCTCCAGATCTATGAGAAGAAAGGAAGAGAAGATTAGGATATAGCAATGTGTCTATTGGGTTTTCCCCTACACGTTCCTGAGTACGACTTAACCAGGTTGACCAAACTGACCAATCTCAGGCTATAGCACTAAAACTAAAATGTCAAAATTAAAGGAACCAAGACACTGTGAGAATTTTTGAGGTTTGAATATCTGCTATAGGCTTCCTGGTCTGTTACATTTAAAAGGAATAAAAAGAGACGCAATGTGTCCACTGTCTGACCATACAGTTCTCCTAGTACTAGTAAGTGTATTTAGCTTGTTCCACTCTTGTTTTCAAATAACTATTCACTACACAAGGAATACACACAAACCTCTTTTATGGTCAGTCAAATTTAAAAAATGAGGTTATGTGTTAATTTTTGTGGTTGTTCCCGAGCTTGTGCTTGAGTCCAGTTTCAGGAAATTAGATGCCAGGGTGTTGCTGGGTAGCAGACAGTCATACAGGCATCATTCCAAGAGGGATAACCGATGAACAGCACTACTCAGGAAACAAGTTCACACAACGGTGCGTGCTGTCGGCTGTCATCACAACTAGTGCCGGCAGGCTATTTATACCAAAGGTCATCCGGCACAGCCAGCATATGCACACACACACACACACACAAACACAACCACACACAAACAAATAGATGAGAGCCAATTGTGTGCATTGGCACTATTTCGTTGGAGTTTATTGATAAACTTCCATTGCTATGCTCTACTGCTGCCTTTGGAGTACCCCCCAAATCCCTCTTAGTGTTTCACATGTGTTGCATTTGCAGAGATACTGTCACATATAAAAACCTTCACTGGCCTCATTTGCAAAGTTTCTGCTTATGACACTTGTGTCTTCTAACAGTCAACCAAAAATTACTCAATGACAAGTCTTAGTCAAACAAGGTTTTGAATTGATGGCTGGATGCAAGACAAAAAAGACCATACTAAAAACGATGACACTCAGTCTTAATGTTTAAATTGCTGGTCCTTCTTGTTATTAGATCCTAATTTAGTTTGACAGGCAGGAAAGCCAAAGTCCTGGGTCATTTTGAGAAGATGACCACAAGAATTTGAAATCTAACCTCCAAACACATATGCATCATCTACCAACCTCAAGCGTGGTTGAAAGACATGGCCCTTCCATCTAACTTTACATGAACAGTCGCAACACTTCATGTGGCGACACATTCAAAATCCTTACTGCTTTTGCGGGTGCTGCTGGCTTGCTTCATTTGTACTTGTAAAAATACAGATTTTAAGGGCTTCTTATTACCTGTCGATTACTTGCTTGAACTAACTTCTACAAGTCAACTATGAAACTTATTTGCCATGGTCAAAGACAGAAAAGGCAAGTTCAAAACTTAAACTTATATTTATATACTATATTTTACCACACAAAAAAAAGTTTTACAAAAAGTACATATTCAATGGAGATTAGCAAATTAAAACAATGTAGGCATCATGTAACATCAGACTTTCTGTAAAGCCTTCATTCTATGATGAATATAAGGTCTACTCTAGTGTAAAAGTAAAAACATTAAAAAAAAGATTTACATCACTTAAAGAACTGCAAAACATTCAAATATGACATCAATGAGTAAGCTTAGCTAAAACCACACTGTAGCCTGTACAGGATAAGGTTGTGAAATCATTGCAAAACACTTCCCCATATTCCCTGAACGTACCTACCCATCTAAAAATACAGCTTTCTTAAATTTGAAACAGGAATCAAGGCTATAACAAAACTTAAATCTTTGTTAAATTGTCAAACACAGATAGAACGATCTGAAATTGGGGCTTCTCATAAATATTTCCTCTCTAAGTGATGGACTGATAACAGCGGTATGACAGGTTTGTCAAATCAGATGTCAAGGCCAGTTTTGAATAAGTTCATAAAAAGCAAAATAATTTTGGAAAGAGAGTATGTATCCAGGATTTTGCCTGCCATCTGTGTCCAACAGCAACAAAAGTGGCGGCAGCAGCAAGCCTGTTATTTATAGCTGCTCAGCTTCTCACTGGCCCTGCCTGCTTGTCACAAGACCCAGCAGTGTATCCTCTGACGACAACATCTGACTGACAGAGAGCAAGAGAAGGACAACAGAAAAGAAGAAGAAGAAGAAGAAGAAGAAGAAGAAGAAGAAGAAGAAGAAGAAGAAGAAGAAGAAGAAG